CTATCCTCTCGCGGAACGCGGCCGCCGCGCTACTGCGCGTAACCTGCGCGCCAATTTATAACGCTTTGTCACGCGCAGCACTCGCGGAAACACCCGCTCGCCGCGGCCGTTTCCCCCCCCCCCCACCGCTTTATTGGAAATGGGGAAAATTATCGTCGCGCCGCGCCCCTACGATTTCGCCGGGCTCCGTCGGGCCCCGTGTGCGGCCCACCGTTAGTTTATATAACACCCCATGCATCTCTCTAACGAGACACCTGTAGTAGTGGTAATAATAATAATCCGCGCTTGATAAGCGGCCGCCTCGTGAAAAATAGTGAAAGTCGCGGGTGATTTCTGCAATGCGGCGGCGCGAGCTAGCCGCAGCCAGTTATCACGTATGCGAGTTATAGCCGTGATAATTAGCGGTGATCGACGTTTAATTATTGGCCATTACTGGTCGTAAGCAACAATATTATGCGGTGATAATGAGAAATTGTTTATCCGCTCACTTGTTTTTCAACGCAAGACCGAGGGTGCTTTCCAGCAATGTGCACACAGGCGGCACTGTGAATCGCTTTATCTTCGTTCACGGAAAGAAAGGTGTAGCTAAAAACTGCAACTAAATTTCAGTTGTAAAATATGGACGGCTGTGGGGCAGCTAAACATTTTGCTGCTGCGCCTATTGTATTCAGGCGCGACAGCATACCGTTTGCTTTAGAAATGTCCAGTTACGGCAGCAAAATATCTTTAGCAACCCATAATTACCTTGCGGTAGCGAAAAAATGTTTTTTTTTCAGTGTTCTTTGCCATTGTTCAATCCGATCTCTCGTCCAACACGCATCTCTTAATACTTTTACCCGTGTTTAACAATTAACAGTGCAGCTTCAATTGACTTTGCACTCTTCAACCAAAGAGTGCAATCATTTTTTTTTACTAATATGTCAGCTTATTTATTTATTTATTCCATATTTATTCTTAACGTGTATTAATTCGTAATAAAGGACAGTGTAATGACTCGCTGGCTTGTACACAGCTTGCTAACGTAGCGATATTGGCCAAACGAACGATACGAGATCACTAACAATTGTGTGAATAGGTACACTGAAAAAAAATGTAATAGATTCAACCAGTCGTCTGTTAGAAAATGGACGAATTTGAATTCCTTTAGGATTTACCATGAAAGATATTTCATAACCAGAAGTTTGCTAGACTTCACTACAAATCTGGTAAATCCTAAAGGAATTCAGATTCGTCCATTTTCTAACAGACGACTGGTTGAATCTATCAGATTTTTTTTGGCAGTGTATAAATTTATGGTTTATCTTCATTATAATTACTTTTTTATATATAAAAATGTTTAGTGCTGAGTTGTATACGTTTGCAGATTACTTGAAAAGGGTCCAAGTCTGGGACCGAAACGTCGTATTTTTAAAATAAAAACACTGGCCAGTGTAGGTGGTTGAAGAATGGCATATCGTTGGTTTTAAACTACTGGCGATATTGAATCTATTTGTGAGTTCTTTGCCATTATTCAACAAGGATGAAAACGATTCTCCGTTTACATTGCGTCGATTTAAGTCTGTTCTATTGTAGCTGAATCGACTGCACCGGTTTACATAGAGAGTTCATCTTTCTCCCGGCACATTAGAAGCAAAAAGATAAACTCTGGACCAGTGCAGCTACAAAGAACCGACCCATTGTGTCTCTCGCTGGGAAGCACCCTGGGTTTCCTCGGGAGGAGCAAGATCGCCCGAACAATCGCGCGTGCGTGCGACGTCTTGTTCTCGACGGCACTTTTGCTACCGTCTCTACTTCGCCGAGCCTCGGTCTCGCGACAGGCGCAGCAGCAGCTCGTTCCGACGGCGGAGAGCGGCACTGCGCGCACCGAACGAGCGTGCCGACCGCAACTTCTGTTTTCCATCGGCTTTTTCTTACTTGGTCTTCGCGGCGAAACCTTAGAGCCGGGCGATTGGCCGTTTCCACGGCAAACCGCGCAATTACGTTGCACAATAATCTATCTTGCCAGTAGTCGCGCGCGGCGCGCGCTCGCGATCGTAAGGCCTCTCTGTCACGCCGCCGCGAGACTCCGGCGACGGTGGAACGAGAAAGAAGGAGCGAGAGAGGAGCGTTCTACGGTTTAATCGCTCGCATCGCGCGCGCGCGCGCGCGCGCTCTCGCGCAAGCCGCTCGTGCGTAATTGCCGCTATTTTTTTCCCCGCGGACGACCGACAATTCGCGATAAATCGCCGCGAGCGCTACGCTTGACTCGTAGGCGCGGCGATTATCCCACCGCTCGTAAATTGATTTATTTCGGGGATTGCGCGATGTGCAAACCGAGAGGCAAGCGTGCGTGAGTCCTTACTTTGTTCTCCAATTATCTATCGGGGGCGGGGGGGGGGGGGAGTTTTTTTTTATTACGTTGCTTTACCTAATAAACGTTGATAGCTCGCGCACGTAAGCGCGTCAATACAATATATTGATTTTCCTTTCGCGATGCGTATCGAAGAATTGGTTGCGGTTGGCAGCACGGCCAATCACGGGGAAATTTGCATTTTACGATTCATTCGTCATAAAGCGGAGTGCGTTGCGTCTTTTCTGCAATTTGCTTTCTAATCCGTATTCGTGCATTTTTGTATATTTCCGACCGCGGTGTCTTTCTTTTGTGCGGAGTGTTTTTATTACCACCGATAGTCGACCTCGTTTCCCCCTTTCTTTTTCGAATCCGGAGGGACTGACTCGCGTATCGTGACGACGCACTTTTCTTTGTGCGCAACAATGAGCGGTTTAATTTACATATACCTCCGTAATTTATTGCATTGTATCGAAAGAAAATCCCATTCTGAAACGTTAATTTAGAAGAACATTTCGCGGCTGTAATCTTGTCGCCTGTGTCCACGTTGCCAGAACTTGGACCAAGTGCAGCTATTCCATAAAAGCTGCAAGTTGATTGGCTACACATTTCTCGGACCGAATTCTAGCATCGTGAACTTGGAATTAAAAATGCACCGATAATTGACGTTTTTAATTCCGTATCCTATCTTATCGACACTGATCGAGTTCGCCAGCTTTAGGATCCCCTTAAGAGACACTTGTCGTATTTTCACGAAATAGCTTTCATACGAACATTTTCTATTTGCACACGAACGACGCGGGCAAAGCGAATCGTATTTCTCGAACGAGCGTTCTCTTCCGGACCGCGGGGCTGTAAAACGGCGTTAGCACGGTGATATCTCTGCGGCTGTTCATACGCGCGGAGGCTAACAACACGTCGAGAGAGAAAGTCTATCTCGTGTTCTCTCGGTTACTGTCGCAGGTGGCCGATCGGGGATCCTCGTACGCATTAGACATTAACGAACGTTGATCGCGTCCCTTCGCCCTTCGCGGGGCGACTCTCGCCCCCCGGTGTCGGTCGTCAACGTGCGATTCCACGGCGAGGAAGGGACACTATTAATTGACGAGCAGAACGCTCCCGTAGGCAGCGCTCTCGCGCCCTCCCACATAATTCTCCTTTAATGTGACGTTCTCGTCTACTCCTCTTACTTTCCGCCCTATCCGCATCCGAGATAATCTTTCCTCTCGCGCTTATACGCGCCAACGACGAATCGAATGTTTTCCCCGCGCGTGATTGCGAGGGTGTAAGAGAACATGTATTCTCTCCCTCCGTCTCTCTTCTTTCCGCGTGGGGTCGAACCGGCGACGCTGCCCAGATATTATGGTCATCCCATAAAAGCCCGCCGCCTCGACGATTGGGCTTTCCCCGGGCGTTTATTATTGCACGTCCGGTCGTGGCGAGTGGATTAAGACGAGACGGGGATCGGAAGTCGCGGGTCGAAGCTGAGATAAGGTCGACAGGGGGCGGGCGGAATGGAGAAACAAAGGGAAACCCTCCCGAGTTAATCGTCCTGCGGCAGGAGATCGTTCTTTCACGCGAGATATTACAAGAGCGTGCCGTCGAGATCTGCGATAATTTTCTCGGACTTCGGCTGGGTCATTGTAATGGATGTTTTATTACGTTCCTCGTATCGCTCTGGACTGAAAATTATTTCTCTATTTTAGCGAAAAAATGCATCGATTTCGGTGTAAATTTACTGGCATCAAATTGCACGGTTCAACGATCAAATCTACGATCAACTTTTCGTATAAAAGACTGGGTTTTTTTACAGATATTATCGCAAAATGAATTTACAAGGAAATTTGCACGAGCGTCTCGCATGAAGGACTTCGCGTGTCTTCTTTTTTTTTTTAACGCAGAATCCTCGCGGTCCGGCTAATACGCGGAATCATTATACCGGCCTTATCCGAAGGTACCGCGAGCTAATTGGGTAATAAGTATCGTTCATAAGTACGTCCTAACGGAATTCGTTTTTGCGCGCGAGCGATTTGTACGATTCCCGGCACGAAATCCCACGCGGCGATTTCACTAATACCAGTAGCCGTAGGCATCACTCGGCGCAACGGAATGGAAGTTAATTGGGTAATTAGTGTCATTAATAAGCAGGCTTTAATTGAAACCTTTTTTCCCCCCGGATCGCGAGTGGTCGGAGCGCGAGAAACGGTTTTCGTAAAGAAAACAGGGAGCCCGTTGTAGATTTTAGCGACGCGATATTTCCCCTCCTCGCGAACGCCACCGTCGTCGTCTCCGTGTAAATTCGTCCGGGATAAGGGGACTCGATAAAACGACCGCGTCGCGTTTTCCTCCTTTTTTTTTTCCTCTCCACCGAAGGCTTAGCCGCAAGAGAGTGCCGGATCGTCGGTAATTCCGTCCAATTAGGACATTCCCAATTAGGAACCTTAACCCCGCGCGTCGACCGTTGTTCCTTCCTGTACAATTCCCCGACTCCCCGGATCTGCTACCGGATCAAACGAGGAGAAACTTACGACGAGTCGTTTTCGCCAAATCTTTGCGAGAGAATCGCAGTTGCGTTTATCGGTTGGATATCTCTTTTCACAGAGACGTTTAACGGCATTGCGACCTAACCGTTAATACCATTGCATTTCATCTATTTAGTTTGCTTTTACGTGCTTTGTATGCGATTTCGATACATCTTTGCTTTATATATGTAATGGTTTATTATTTTTAAGACTAACACACACACACACACACACAGTGATCTGTATTTTAGCAATGTCTCACTTCGTTAAAATCGCGAACAAGAATGTCAAGCAATACTGAACGATCGATGTCGCTGTTTATTGTTGCAGTCCGATATCGAGAAATCGCCACTACCGATGATCGGTCCAGGCCTGTCCAACGGTCGCAACAGCAACTCGTCGTCCACCGACAGTCTGCTATCGCTGTTGATTCCGACGCCGCTGCGAGAGACCCTTTGGGCAACGGTAGCTCTATACCTTGGCTGGAGACTCGTCTCCCGCCTACGATAGACGCGCCGGTCTCGCCCAACCGTTCTGGATGATCCTGTGGGCTCGATCGACGATCGCGCCGATAACTGGAACGACATTGGGGGCCACTAACTAAGATGGAATGGACGGCTAGCAACTCCTTTCCTTGTCCGCGATCGCGGACGTCCTGTGTGGAATCCTCTCTAGACGGATCGTCTCGAGAGAAGGAGGAGGAAGAGGAGGCAGTCCACATGGCGCATACTCCGGATCTCTCTATGTGATCGGATAATGGATTTAATCGAGGTAGAGCGCGTTGGAAAGACGAGCCGTTATCTTGTTTCAACATCCACTCCGATAATACAATTATAATTTTATATTGTCCGTCTTTGTATTTCGCGTCTGCGTTGCGCGGCTACGCGAGAATGCGCTTGATCGACTTTGAACGGTTCCTGAGGGACCATGCGACTGCATATAATATATTGATATATTTGATCACGATGATGAAAGTAGTGATAATTATTTGCTTCTGCGGCGTGCTTCTAATTCCTTTATGATTTATGACTTGGATCAATTTATTAATTTGATGATCGGTAATCGATGATTAATCGACGATAATTGATTTATCTCATAGTTGATAATTGATAATGATGATAATGGATTGATTTTATAAGAATTTTTATATTGACAATTGTGATAATTGAAAAATGATAATAATGATTGAGTTGACGAGTTGCTCTCTACTAAATGTATTCGTCCCTCCCCAGGGACGAACGGGTAAAAAAATTTATATAAAAAGGACTTTAATTGGAAACCTGAGTACGAGATTCCAAAAAAAAAGTTCTTAATTATTGTCTATTGATTAATAATCGATGTCGACCGGAGAATCGATCCTATCTATTAACTTGATTGCTATCTGTCGAGAATTGCGTGTTGTCGATAAATTGTGACTGTGATTGCCGCGGGTGACGAGGCGAAGGGTTAGCAACGGCGGAACAGCGACGTCGAAGTACAAGTGCATTCTCGCGCGATGCAGGAGCTATTTTCGTACGTAGCGCTATTCGTTCGTGCCGATAGTTCGCCCTGCGAGTTCGTAGGCGAAGGTCGAAGGACGGGATTTTAAGAGGCGGGGCGGGAAGTGGGAAAGATAACCCGGGCCAGAGTAATCGAATTGCGTATTATGTGGCGATCGGACCCGAGACACGAGGAGGGAGGTATTAAGGGTGACGGGGGAAACTAAGGACGAGATCCAAAGAGGATTAAACCCAATAATCAAATGATGATCTCATTACGGATAAATAAAGAGAATTAAATAAAGTAGTGTGATTATATGGGAGCGAGAGAGAGGGCGGACCATACGCCCCCCAATTCTCTCTGTCTTCTCTTCGCGCGTCCGTCCCTCTCTTGATCTCGCCAAGGTAGAAAGACTACTTTTCGGTATGTGGCTTGTAGATAACGCGGTTCCCCGACCGGTAGCGGTCGACGGAGCGATTCTTGTCCAAGATTTTTTAACGACGCCGCGCCACGACGACGTTTCGCGAGGCTTGGCACCTATATATTTCCTCCGTACGAGACAACGAACATTTCTTTAATACGTTTGACAATATCAAGAGCCTAACGACGGACCTGTTTCATCTGAATTACAATCAATCGACGGTTATTTACAATCGATCGGCCTCGCCAGACGTCTACGGCACGTGAGCGGAATATATGTATATAAAGAGACGTCGAGAGGGATAGCGACGATTCCAAAAATGTTAAGAGGATAGGGGACGAGCGAGGACGTAAGATGGAGACAGGGGAGCAAACTTGTATATGCATAGAGGATTTATCTAAAGTAATAAAAACTCAGTAATAAGTCGATGTTATAATAATTAAAGTAGATAATCGATAGGCCGAGGATCGCAGCATCTTGATTGGCTAGCTGCGACTCCCGTGGACAGTTTTCAAATGATCTCCGGTAGCTTAGCTATTAGTAGGCGTCCTCGTGACAGGCGAGACACGCCTTTCATGGCACATCGGAAGGAACATCTCCTTCTTTCCCCTGTGCCCTTTCTAACTTGTGTCTATCCTTCTCTTTCCTTCTTTCCCGTTTCCGTCTTCTTTCTTCTATCGACCAAAAACTGTCTATCGATTCTCCCGCTCTAACTCACCTATCCTCAATCTTCTACGCGATCCCCTCCGTTTCACTTCCCTGCTTCGCAATTCCATGTTTATCGACGACAGTTCTTCTGACTGTTCTGTTGTGTACGCGACGTAACGTAATCTCTGATCTCGAACTTAGCGTGTATTGGTAAGAATCGTGTGTTGTGTTCGCTCGACGATCCAGAGTCTCAATTTTCACGGGCGAGCGGACTCGGGCCTTCTCGTCTCGCGATTTCTCTTAGGGTTCTAGGTAGGAAACGGCGTAAGGGCTAGCCTAACGAGTGAGGGCGTAGAAGAACAATATCCCTGGGCTTTCTCGTTCGGTTTTAAACTATCGAGACCAAAACTATCGAGGCTGCTGTACAGTCGTCCCTGTGGGCCGCGCTTTCTCTTCTCCCCGAGTGCAAGTCTATTGCGTTTTCCTTTGTCTCCCTATTGATAGGATGATCGTGACGTTATTCCGTCGAAGTATTCCAGTGTGTAGGTCTATAGTATTTATTTGTAGGCGATACCGTTTTTCTACCGTCTAATAGGGCCGCGTTTTGAGATAAATATATACGCGCGGGCGGAATACATATATATTATTGCCATTTCGAGATAAGCAAATCCTCGCCAGACGCTTCCAAACGGGAGCGGCTTTGTGGAAAGTCAATAATGTCGGTGTCCGTAACACGTTGTCTCTAAAGACGAAAAAATAGTTAGCACTGTTGAGACAAAGGTATTTAAGGGAATACGAGTATTTCGTACGCGCTGTAAGGAGGGCGTTTTATACACGGCGAGAAAGCCAACGCGTTGTTCTAATCTCAATGTACGCGCGGATTGTAAAATCTTTGTATTTTCACATCGTATAAAGCTTTATTCTGTCGTGTTTTCGCGAGCCATTTCTCATCGTCAGGAACCTCAGATCCAATTCCGCGGAGCGCGGATTACCGTTCAATCTACCGCATACATAGGGATTATTATCAAACAATACGTACATCATTCGATCAAATTGAATTACCACCTGAAAAGCACTTAGTGAATTTATTCGTAATTTTAATACGTAATAAATAATTGATTGCATTTTTTAATTTGTCAACTAAACGTCTGCTAAAAGCGACTAAAATATCTAATAGGTATTAATTCACAAAATTTTTTATTTAACTCTTTTTTACGGACTTCTTGTTTAATTGGATTGTAGTTGCAATTTTACAAACACGGAAAAATTAGAAAAATTTTCAGACTGGTTGCGAGAAAACCGAATAATTTTTTGTACAAAAATCTAAAACTACGGTTCTTTAAAATTACAAACGGTTTAATTTAAAGAACAAATCAATCAAATCCTTAGAAAATACATAGGAAATCGATATTCGATTGTGTGAATTTTGCGAAGCTGGCCGAGCGCTGCTCATCTCACAAAATATTATATAAGTTGCTGTTTTCATATATTAAATGAAAAGAGGGGAATGACATAATTTGAGAAAATATTTACAAAAGAAAAGTATTAAAAAATCATTAGAAGAAATGGAGGAGGAAGAGAAGAATGAAGAGCAGAATTTAAAAAAAGTAACTTATATTATGAAAAAAGAGAATTTTGAAAATTAGAAAGAAAAAAGAAAAAGATGAGAAATAAGTAATTTTATAAAATTTTAGTACTTTTAAAAAATTTCAGTATTAGAAGACGGATGGGAAGAAAGTTTATGTGAAGCGGCAGAAAGGATTCATTGTTATTGATCTAAAATCTAATCTGATTCATGCTTCGCGCGGGCTCAAAAGCTAGTATCTAATAGGTATTAATTCACAAAATTTTTTTATTTAACCCTTTTTTACGGACTTCTTGCTTAATTGGATTGTAGTTGCAGTTTTACAAATTCCTTGCTGATTCGTTCGAAACTATTGCCTCCTGCAACGGCGATTAATATTTGCGCCAATGACCGAACGTCAGAGGCTGTCAAAATTTAGCAAATGTCGCGAAAAGTTTATCTGGATTCAACGGTAATTCGCTTCCCGCAGCCAGTAAAATTTCCAATCTTCGATCGGGTTTCCTCTGTGCAGCTTGCTCCTTTCACGGAGAGAGCACGCAAAGGTACAAGATTATCATGTATACATATTTGATATAGCTAGTATTCGTCGTTGTATCGCGGGAGCCGAGCCACGAGCTTGAGAGGGCAACTCTTTCTCGGTGGAGGTTGTTGCATTGCATTCCGACCAAAGGGAAAATTCCCGTTTTCCTGCAGCGCGGTGAAACGAGACGCGAGACGGCCTAAAAAAGGTCGCGGCCATTTAATCCTTTTACTTCGTAGATAGGGAAAGGCAGAGCGAATTCGCGAGCCCCCGCCATTTGTGGCCCGGGGGCGGATATATACACACAATATATATACATATGTGTGTGTGCGTGCGTGTGTATCTCTGTGTGTGTGCGCGCGCGCGTGTGTATGTGTGTCGGAGGAAAATTGAAAGTGAGAAAACACGGCGCATGTACATAGTCGCTTCTCCTCGGGGCCGTAAACGCAGTAATGACCTACGGTTTCTTTCCCGGTACATTTCTTCTTTTTTTTACCTATTTTTGTTCGTTTTCTAGAATTAATTGCTCTGTAGAAGCACTTAGGTAGTAGTCAGCCATACTGAGAGTATAGTAATGATATATGGATAAACGTATATAAAAGTATAGGTATATATAATGGAAGACATATATGTATATATATATATATAAAATATATATATTTTAAATGGCATAGTTGGGGATATTACTGTTTCGGGAGATAACCTGATCAAGAGAATTGTATATTTCGAAGGGGCGCGAGCCCGGAGAAAGTATGACGGGGGGGGGGAGGTGGTGTTAAGGGTATGTGGAGACGATGGTTCTTCGGTGGTTGATGGGGGGGGGGGGTGTTGACGGACGTAGGTCGAAGGTGGGAAATAAGCTGTAACTGTGACTATGCGGATCGTGGGGGGCAGGCTGTTGATACGCTCACTCGAGAGCTTAACACGGGGATTAATTTAGGCACACTTTCGCACACGACGTAGGAAAACACGAGAATAGCGGTCTTCTCGAGGATCTTCTTGCGTTCAAGGGGACAAGTCTGCGGCACGCGTTCGCAATTCGCGATACGTTCGAGCGTGAAGTCTAAACGAAAAAATAAAAAAAGTGAAAGAAAGGACCAGCGGTAGATGCAGCCCGCCCATCCGAGATCCCCGCGCGTCAAAGCGTCACTGTGATCTCGTAATTATTAATGAAATATCCGATTATTATAAAGAATAATCACTACTATGATATATCCTTTTCCCCCCTTTCCGTGAACAAGAAAAAAAAACTTTCGGAGACACGATCTAACGTATTTTCGCGACTATAACTGTGGTTGCACCTCTCTCTTTGCATTTCTTTCTTTTTCCCACCTTGTTCTGGTTTTTTGTTCTTCATTTTTTTTTCTCTTCAGTTTTATAGTACGCGTTTGCGCGCGCGTTAGTTTGTAAAAGTAACGTTATAAGTACATCTTAATGAATCTTTCATATGATCTCCCGGAGGTATCGATTGTTAGGCGAATTCAGCGGCCGACGCCGTTCGTTTCCGCCCGTCCGCGTGCAAGAAACCTATTTCTCTCTCATACATCTCGTTCCCGAGTTTTCTCCTCTCTCTCAACACGATTCGTCAAAACGAACGGCATCGGCGCTCGATTGGCCGTACCTCAGTTAGTTAAAGATAGAGTTAAGCGGTTAAAGAGAGATAAACATTATATTCCGACGCGAGGGAAGACGAGGGATAACGACGTTGTTGTAGCGATCTTGTTCGAATAGCTAGGTTTATAACAACGAAAACTTCATCGCTGCGTTCGCACTCAGTAATCACCTATATAACACGATCACAGATTATTATTCTTACTGATTATTATTATTTCTATTATTATACTCGTCGCAAAACGTATAAAAGCGAAGTCTCAAACTCCCCGGCGCTGTAAAGAGATAATCGACTAGTCTTATCGGACCAACCATTGAGATTCGTGTATTTTTGTTTAACGCATATTTTCTAAGATCGAGATTTTCCCCTCTACATACATACATATAAATATATATATATATACATATAAACATATATATTTACAAATATATATATTTTTTTTGTTTTAAATAATTGATTGACCCCCCCTTCCTCCCGCGATTCTCTCACCTCTTCTGTAAACGTGATCCCGAAGTACCGAGTTCGAAAGCATCGGGGGCGAGGGTTCTCTCGGGTTCGCTCGCTGTGATGGCAGGTCCTTTGACAGGACTGCCCCTGCAGGATATTGCCCAGCGCGAGACGGAGAGACGGTCGCGTCTGACGCACTTGTCTCCACAAAACGTCATCTCTAACAGTAATGAACTATTGTAGTAATGCGCGGGAAGACATTTTGATGCTTTGCAGCAGCATTTAAACCGGGGCGGGACTTTGCCACGATCGATCGCGATCTTTCCCCTCCGATCGGCGGCTCTTCTCGCGCTCTCGCGGCGAGTGCGCGGGCCCCGGTTCAAATGAAAATGCATGTATCGAAGCGAGGACTCGCTGTACGCATAATTACATGCGTGCATACACGCGTATACATATACAGTTACACGATACACGTAACATACATGGACATACACTTGCCCTTAGTACTATTATAATCGTCTAAGACCTTATGAGAAATTTTATTTGCTCAGACTGTATATGTTTGCCATAAATTGACTGTTGTACGTTCTTCGGATGTGTAGTAGTACTCGTGTTTAGAAGTAAGGGAATTATTCGCGATTATTCTGTCGCTCCAGCCACAGTCAGGTGCCAACCGTCGCTCACGGTTTTGTTCTCCTTAGCGGAGTACGCTGGGACACGCAGCAGTGGCCCACGGCTCCGAGATTGATAGATCGATCGTTTGACGCGTGCCACTTGGAAAACCCCGCTTTTCTACGGGCCTTCCGGGGTGACTCGTTCGAAATGTGTGTCGCTAATTTAATCTTGTCCGCCGATCCTTTAACTCGCACGATCGCGCCGTTCCTTACGTTTCGCATGTTATAATTTTTATATTTTGAGCTCTCAAATATACAAACATGACACAAATATCCGTTTATTCTTGGCGAATTCTTTAATTGTCAACTTTTTCACTACTCATTGCTGAGGGAAATCTCTTTCTTGGAAAATATTCCAATAAGTGTTAATTAATATTCTGCGTTTTACACATATTTATGTACGGTATCCGATGCCAAATTTGCTCCCGACATTTTGCGGCGTGTACTATTCGTCATTTTGTGAAAAGTCAAGTCGGATCGAAGCGAGTAGCGAGCGAGTCACACTCGGCGGGCCACCTTTGCCTATCCCTTCGCTATGTAATCTTTCGTATTCCACTTAAACTAGCAAGAAGTTCGTAAACTCCGAATGCCTACAAAATACGTTACCTGTAGCCAAATGTCCCGTGGACCATATAGACCGCCGCGATCTATTCGTTATTTGCGAGAAGAAAAAAAGAAGACGACAGACGGAAAGAAAGAGAGAGAGAGAAAGCGAAGAAACTTGGATCGACCGAGCGTGCGTGAGATCGTATGACAGGGGAATAACGAGAGAAAGAGAGCGAGAGTGAGAGAGAAAAACAGAATAACTCTTGATAACAAAAAGAAGAAATTTTAACCGTTAGAATTTCTACCAGGACGAGCGTTATGGGGGTCTCTCAAGTCGTATGTAAAGCTCGCAGCTGCCTTGTGATAGAGTCTGGACTGCAAATAATTCTGACAGAACAATCGTAATCAGACCGTAAAGACTGTCAAAGAAATATACGATCTTTGTGCGTGCACACGCACAGGGATGAGAGGAAAAAAAAACATAAATGTAACGGTAAAGACAATACATCTCGTCGATCAATTTTCGTCCAGCTGACCAATCCAAAGAAGCGACCAAATAAATGAGGAGGGAAATGATGCGAGCGCTTGCACGACGCTTGAGGTGCTGTCCTTTTTCTTTTCGTTTTTTTTTTTCTATCGATACTTCGCGATATATTGATGCTATACGCGTGTCCGTATATTTTTCTTTTGTTTTTTTTAATTATTTTTAGATATATATGTATATGTATATCTTTCGTTTTGCTTCGAATATCCCGATGCGAGTGATTGGACGGAAGATGTACGGCGGTCACGTGATATATATTATACAAATATATGGTATTATGTAATAATCTCCCCTCCTTAGTGCAGATGTAAGCGAAAGAGAGCAGAATACTGTTGATTTGTTTTGTTTTAGTTTTTTTTGTCTCCTCTATTAATCCCGATCGTGCTGATTCTTTCATAACGATCCACTTCTCCCCTCTTCGTCACTCTTCACGTCTTCTCCCGACTTTACCTCCTCTCTTCTTTCGTTTCTCCTCGCCTCCAATTAAATTTCGGCTTAAGACGCGGGGCTTGGGTCGGGGCTTGCTCTCGCGGAGCAGCCCGGGAGTGTTCTCAAGGCGTAGAGAAGAGCCCAGAACGCCCGAG